CCCCAAAACCCCAAAACCCCAAAACCCCAAAACCCCTACATATGTGCTTAATTTTGAATTTTATTTAAAGACTATAAATTACAACAGAAATTATTTTTGTTCTTCCATCAACTTTGAAATATCCTCTTGGAAGTTCTTTACTACATCAATCTTCGATGCATCCTTAGGAGCAGGCTCTGGGATATAAGGTGGGCTCAACGGGGAAACAGGTCGAGTCTTTGATACTCCCTTAATCCTATCAATCATGTTTGTAAGTGCGATATTTGTCTTTAAGGATTTATTCCCATTAGCTTCCTCCTGCAGAAGAGCTTTTCTACAATATGATTACACTATATTACTGAAAAATCTGTTTCCATTTCTTTGGAGGGACAAACCATTTGCTGCCATATTGCTTCGAAGCAAGACAGAGATTCTATAGGGTAACTAACCAGGTTTACCTTTTGCTTGGTTTCAGAGCTTGGCTTAACAAACCTATGATCCCTATTCAGCCCAGAAAGATCGACAGTTGCATCAATGATCTTATCTTGCATTTCAATATCAAAGAGGTATATGCCTTTCTGCCTAGTGTTCTTCTTTTGCTTCTTTATGGAGCTCCTAGGCGAATAGATCTCATTAATCCTGGCGATGCTGGCCATGGCATCAGATCGCATTCTAGAATTAGCCTGAAACTTTACTCTGAAACTGATGAAGATTGGTCAAAGGAGCTCTCTCGGATGATATTTACTATATGTTAGTGATCCCGTACTGTTCTTCATTGCGAAATCCTTCAGGATTGAGCCACGATGAATCAGGGTTTTCCCTACAAGTTAGGTAACACGTTACTTGGCTGCAACTTCTTCGGAATCATGGCTAGATGGTTAACTACAAGGATACTTACATGCTCGTGAACGAAACTTCTTCTGATTCACAGGCTTGCTAAAGATCATGGCTAGTTATCTTACATTTTATTGGAGGTAGTCCTCAGGTTAGGAGTCCTAGTACTAGTCATAGAATCTTACTTCCGTATCTCTGGTGATGGGCATAATAAATTTGATTCTAGTATACTACTATTCAGCTTCGCTTTTGGAAATTCAAAGTCTTTATTAGTCATAACTGAATTAGTCTTCTGGCTATCCTCAGATTCTGACTCTATATAGACTCAGTTAAGTCTGGCAAAGAATGCTTGAATCTGTGGTGATTACCTGAAATATAACTCTTCTCTTCGACTACATCTCTAAAGGTATTATCATACAGGCCTTACAGTGAGACTTGACTTGAGTTATCATCTGAAGGCTGTCTATTTCTCTTATAATTTTTAAAACTAGTATTCCGCTTAGACCCAAGAATTCTCTTATTTAGAATCCTTGTAGTTTATTTTCTTAATCGAAGACCTAGATATGATAGACTTTCTGGAGAGTCTCATCTTCATTAGGGAAGAAGCCCTCGACTTAGATGATGGGCCTGACTTATCAGTGTCACAACTGTACTCAGAGATACTAATAGTATTCTCCTAGAAATTAACGAATGAAAATTACGTTGCTTTGTTTTGGATTTTTAAAGGTAACTCCTCTATTTAGCTTAAGTTTGAACTCCATTCCTGTGTATATTCTGGAGAACTTCTTCACTAGGCTCACTCTCGGTCTGTGGGCTACAGAGATCCTGCTTGATTTCTTAGTTTGGCTATTTTACATAGTTGTCATTAAACCCTTCAACGAACTCGAAGAACTCTATTTCGTTATTTCCTAACAAAATTGGCATCAATGGGCTTGCCTCCGCCTTCGATCTCGAAGCGGACTTTGCCGATCATGCCTTTTCCTTTTGATTCTTTAACCTGAGCTAAAGATCAGTGGAAGAGAAATACAAATTCTGAAGACTATGGGTTTGGGCTTCTGAAGCGCTCTTGCTTCCTCAAGCTTATAATCATTAAGTTCCTGGTTGAACAGCACATCGAGGGGGATATCTGTGGGCACTCAGAGATAGGCTTACCGCTCTCTTTGACCTTGTTCTTACGCTCCTTGGTCAAGATTCTAAGGGCCATATTGCTCTCATTATCCTTTCTCTGTATCTGTAAGTTCACTGGGACGAACCGAGTGTCGGTAATCGAGGCAGTCCCAGGCTCCTATTGAATTACTGATCTAGCTGAACCTTCAGGTTATTTCCTGACAATCCTTGACACTTTTGTATTATGACTCCATTTAGGTTTCGTGGAGAACGAACTTGAAAACCTCTTTGAGCATCTCAGTGAAGGAACTAGGAGGTCATAGATAACTTACTGGCATTCTGCACTCTAGATCGTGCAAGCTCCTCTAAAGGAACCCTAGGAGTTAGAAATGGCTGAAATGTCTGATCCCTCTGAGATTTAAAGACATGGGTTCTGTACTGAGGTGGTGATTGAGACTTCGTCTTGAAACTTGAGTAGTTCAGCGCTCGCTGAGCAGACAGAGTGTTTTGGCTATTAGGGAGGAAGGAGCTAGTCAGGTTATTCCTTAAATAATTTCTTCCAACACTTCTAAACTCTTTCTTATTTCGAATGGTTCTCTGAATTCTTTTCATCTTCTTCATGACGGTTGGACTGAAGTTAGCAGGAGAAATCTGATGGTTCTTGACTACAGGGTCCTCTTTAAGAGAGACTCTGGAGGACTCACTTGAATGGTAAGATTTGGAGTAATATCTCTCAGCACTTTCGACAGAGGATTCATGAATATACTGGATCTGAGAGATAACATCTTTTATCCTAGATCATAATAAACCAGGCTCAATAGCTGCTAGTCTCTCCAGAGATGCTTACTTTGATTCATTGGTCATTTTCATCCTCATAAACCAATTTTTCCGTCCTCTATAGCCTAATTTGGGTGAGAAAAATGCCTTGGTGATAGGATATGCAAGAACTTCTTTACAAATTACCTTTCTGGCTAGCCTTATTTACACCCATGCTTGAGCTTTGTCCCTACAAAGTATGTGAGCATGTCTCAGGTCAGGAGAACAATCTGTTGAGTCTGACCAAGGTTGGGCCGTCTCAGTTGCAAAGACAATTAATTCCAAATTTCTACTCACCTTTAATTTCTTTGTAAGCTTCCAAAAAGTCATATATCGATGAACTCTTAGACGAAGACATCTTTGTTTTGCTGTATTTCAGAGAGCAGCCAAATTTGTCTATTTGAACATTAAACATTGACGTTGTTAAATGGTATTAAAGGAAGAAAAATTATAAACAGCACTTGTAAGTTTTAACCTCTTATGCTAGCTTCTAATACGATCATGCAAGTTCTCCCTTTGTGATAAGCACCAATGTGAGTTTGTCATAATGGTCAAAGTAAACGAACTTACTGATACTAGGAAGTCTTTCCATTAATCACTATCTTTCAATAAAAACATTTTATTCTGGGGTTTTGGGGTTTTGGGGTTTTGGGGTTTTGGGG